CGCCTCACCGAAAGTACTAATCGGGCAAGATAACTGGCACCTCATAGTGTCTAGAAAACTGCGCGTCGGCCGTCGAGACCAACCAGTCGCCTCATACACCAACCTGGGCTGGGTTCTGCATGGCTGTCATAGCTCATTGACGTCGACGGTCACCTTCTGCGGCAGACTACATCAGAGGGAAGATGCACCACCGATAGAAGAAGAAATAAAAAATTATTTCAAATTGGAGTCGCTGTGCATCGAGCCGAGAAGACCGAAAGAAGATCCCGAGCAGCGAGCCATGCAAATATTGGACGAAACCAGCCAGAGGTCAGCGGACGGCAGATTCGAGACAGGGTTGTTGTGGAAACAAAAGGACTTCCAAATACCAAATAATTATAAAGAAGCGGAAAGGCGCCTGCACACCTTAGAGAAGAGGCTCGACCGAGACAGCAATCTCAAGCTACAGTACGAAGAACGCATCGAGAACCTCTTCAACTCGGGTTACGCAGAGCGCGCGCCAATGCCACCGCCGCAAGGAAGGACATGGTATCTGCCACACTTCCCAGTCATCAACCCTGCGAAACCGAACAAACCGCCGAGATTGGTACACGACGCCGCAGCGAAGACAGCCGGAATATGTCTCAACGATATGCTTCACTCGGGGCCCGACTTATTACAATCACTGCCCGGAGTGATCATGAGGTTCCGACAGTATCCGTATGCAGTGAGCGCCGATATAAAAGAAATGTTCATGCAGATTAAAGTGCGCAAAGAAGATAGAGACGTTTTACGTTTCTTGTGGAGAGGCAAGCGACGGGAGGACCAACCGGAGGAATATAGGATGACGTCAATCATCTTTGGAGCGACATCATCACCATGCACAGCATTATACATCAAAAATAAAAATGCTGAAGAACATGCAGAAGCGTACCCAGAAGCTGCGGTCGCCATAAAAAGAAACCATTATATGGACGACTACTTGCAGAGCTTCCACTCTGTCACGGAAGCTCAGCAAACAGTAAAAGCAGTCGATCACGTCCACAAACAAGCGGGATTCGTACTCAGCGGGTGGGCATCGAACGAAGAAAAAACAATAGAAGAAATAACGACAGAGCATAGACAACACGACGCGACCGTGTGCCTGGGCGGAAAAGAAACTGAGAAGACGCTAGGGCTGCTCTGGCATGTACAAAGCGATCATATTGGATTCAATACTAACAATATGAAGATGCCTGCCGACGTAAAAGAAAAACAACGCTTGCCAACTAAACGAGAAGCGTTGAGCGTCATAATGGCATTATTTGATCCGCTGGGGTTAATATCACCGGTGACCACCCCAGCGAAGAGAATATTTCAAGACACATGGCGTTACAAGGCGGACTGGGACGACCCTCTGCCAACAGAATTAAAAGAAAAATGGGAAGGCTGGATTACCTCACTTAACGCCATAGAACAACTAAGAATACCGCGATGCTACGATTACAACCCGGTGTCGACGCGCCAACTACACACATTCGTCGACGCAAGCGAGGAGGCCTACGCAGCAGCAGTGTATTGGAGAACGGAGCGAGCAGACGGCAGCGTTAACATATCATTGGCCACCGCCAAGAGCCGCGTAACACCACTGAAACCAGTTTCCATACCACGGCTCGAGTTACAAGCGGCACTGCTGGGAGCTCGTCTTGCGCAGACCGTGATCGATGAACACGATGGCGACATAGCAGGCAAGACATACTGGTGCGACTCCCGTACTGCACTGGTGTGGATAAGATCGGAGCCTCGCGCGTACAAAGCTTTCGTCGCTCATCGCCTGGCGGAGATAGAAGATACGACCAAAAAGAACGAATGGCGTTGGCTACCGTCTAAAGAAAACGTGGCAGACGACGCAACCCGAGCCACACCAGAAGGGTTCGACGAGTCGCACCGATGGTTCCGAGGGCCCCCGTTTCTGCAGCGTCCACCGGCAGAATGGCCGCAGGAAGAGAAAACGACACAATATGACACCGGGGAAGAGCGAGAAATATGTAACATCGCTGTTAAAAGGGAAGACTCGACAACAACACATCTTCCACAGATAGGAAGATTTTCTAAATGGAAACGAGCTCAAGCCCTAGCCGACGTGTTTTGGAGAAGATGGGTTAAAGAATACCTGCCCCTACTCCAACACCGGCGGGAGCCCAGCAGCATAGGAGTATCGCCGAAGATTGGAGACCTAGTCATCATTTGTGACTCCAATCTACCACGCAACACCTGGCCCAGAGGGAAAATAAGTAAGGTATATCCTGGCGTCGACGGAGAGGTACGAGTAGTGGACGTAACCACCGGCAGTGGGCACATACTAAGAAGACCAACGAAGAAGATCGTCGTGCTACCAGAGGGATCGCAGCGTGGCGACGGCGGGAGAATGTGCACGACGCAACAATATTAAACAAACGAAAGAAAATGCTTATTGTAACCGGCGCTAGTTGAACAACCTAGGAGCGGTGGGCGGAGCCATGACGACGGTGTAATTATCAGGCCACGCCTCTGGTTCGCAAACTAGCAAGGGTCATACGGCGGAACTAGCGCAACCTTATGTTGAATTTAAATTATAATTTGTGTAAATAATTGTATTACTTGTATCGAACGATAAAAAATAATGATTGTATTATAACTAAGTTTAAGGTTGAGTTGTAACTGTGCAATAACTCTCCCAAATAAAGGCACCGTATGAACAGGGAGAGTTAGCATAGTCTTCTAATGAAAACTGTAATTGTTAAATATAATAAATGTTTACTTTATTATATAATAAATATATTAGGCCGTTAGGCACATAAAATAATAGTAGTAGTGTAACCAAAGAGCATGTTATCGTGACGCGGCCGCGGAGCAAATTAAGCCACGCGTACCGCGCCACGACGTTTTATATTTATAGTGCTGAGGCGGGGGGAAGGATTCTCCGCCTAAAGCAGCTGAAAATTATAATGTAAACCCGTAAATAAGTAAAAATATTGATATGTACACCCTAGTCTAACAAGTAGTTATAAGAATATTATATAGTGAATTATGTTTATTAGTTTGTAAGGTTATTAAATAAATAAAGATAGGCGCGGGGGTGAGGCAAGGGTCCGCTGGCCAGCAGCGGCCAAATCATATAAAAGACGGGCCGGCCGCTAGGGTCAGCAGTCGCTCTCCAGCCACCGAAAAGGCACCAGCAAGAAAAGAAAAAGTACAAGTTCCTCCTCACCGCCGCTTGCCTCCAGTTAAAAGCAAGACCAGCGCGTTTTATTCCATTTTTCGCACGGCATCACGGCGATCCGTAATAATAACACAACAAAAAAATTAAATTCATCTGAAATAAAAATCGCTATATATAAAAATCAATTGCTGTCCGTTAGTCTCGCAAAAACTCGAAAATGGCTGGACTGATCTCACTCATGAAACTTTTTGTGTGTGTTTGCGTGGAACCCTGGATGATCTAAACGACGCTGTTGTAATAATATAAATTTTGCGGTTGAAGTTATGAAGGGAAACACCTTTAACTTAAAGTTAGGTTTTTGGTTAAAACCTATCTAAAATAGGACAAAATCTGTGTAAAATATTGAAAGATCACAGAAACACCTAACGTCTTTACCAATTTGCAAAAGTAAATGAAGACTTGCTCAGAAAAATGGGAAAAGCGAAGAATACACATTAACGGGTATTTAACCGATCAGGTGTTATGGTGTAATAGAAAAAAGTAAACAAGGAGAAAAGTACTTAAAATATGCGTTTAATAAATTAACATTTATTAATTAATGAAAAAAAAAACATTTCATTACGCCACCAACCTTCTTCTTATATGCTGTTAAATCCACCTTTACAGTAAGTGCAGGAGGTTTTTACGTGGCAGAGCCATGCTGCAGCTATATTAATAGTATAGTTGTATGACGAATGGGTTGGCTCAACCGGGGAAAGACCACGCTCTCACAGAGTACCAGCGTAAAATAACAACTTAACACTGCTGTGTTTCGTTTAATGAGTGCAGAGAACCGGAGACCCATTTTACTGGAAAACAGGCATTCTATCTTATTCCTCACGGCTGACAATGCATCTGCATTTTGATTCGCAAACAAAGTTAGATGTAGGTGTCTATGGGCCACAGCAACCACTTACAGTCAGGTGGACTGTGTGCTCGTTTGTCACCCTTATTCTATAAAAAAGTGGCTACTGCAAACCATTGACCCCTGCAGCCATTTCATATAAAGAAGGCTAAAGTCACAGCGTTGTCACCTCTATGTTCTAAGATGGAAGGTCTAACAACCTGTTATTATACTGGCTTTCTAAGCCATTCAGACCCTAATACAGCAGTGCAAGCACTTCTATTTGACTGCAGAAAAAGGGGAAGAGGGACTTACCTCAACATAAAAGCAGTTCTTTCGCATAGCCATAGAACATCAGCAGTCACACATAATTTCGGCTTTGTCATTGATCATTTAAATGTAGCAAAGAAGACGGTTCGGTGCTGATTGTATATGTATTTTAAATATAGTGTATACTCTTAACTTTTACAGTTCCAAAATGAATTATATCCAGTTATGATGTGTAACCCATTTAGAATGAGGAATTGCCTCAGAGTTTACATGTGACGCACAAGCCATACTGCTATACACTACGGCTTTTGGTGTTAATAATTTTTGATGTTATTAGGAAATTGGCATCGGCAAATGCTGATGGTGATGATTTTAAGATGAAATAAGTATATTTGAAAATAGGTTCTCGAGTGGCGGCCGCGTACTGGCGGACGAAGTGTAGGGCGTCCCCTCACTAGATGGACTGACGACCTAGTAATACATGCAGGAAGTCGATCGATGCAGGTGGTTCAGGACCATGCTTTGTGGCGGTCGTTTGTGGCCTATGTTCAGCAGTGGACTTGTGAAGGGCTCTAATGATGATGATGAAGTATATTTTCAAATATTCTTTACTAAAGATTAAGGCAGATTCGCTCAAATAGTGGCGTTGTGGTTTACTCGTGAGAAATGATTGCAAACGTTTCTTACCGTACTTGTACACCCTGGAAAATGTATACAAATTGGATCTTCGGGCCAATTCTTTGCTACATAAAAATGGAAGTCCCAAACCTTGTTGTTTAGATATGTTTGAATCGTCTGATGAAACTGAAAAAAAAAATATCTCTGGTAATAATTGTTATAATATGCTTTTACAAAATGTAATATATAATTTATAAAATTGATACATCAAAGTCCGTTTATTAAGTTTTATACTGAGTAACCCGCTTAGAGGAACTTTTGTGCACATATTAGGAAAAAAAAACAATAATTGAGACAAAATATCGAAAGCCATTTTTTATAATGCACTGCGCAGACACCTGTTTCAAATTGCTTCTTCTTCTAAATACCGCTAGGTAATCATCAACTGGACTGTATATAAAAATTTTGGTTGTTAGTTCTATTTTATTATAACAAATATTGTATATTAAAACATAATATGTTATGTAAATCAACTATTCAAAGAATCATAATATAGGTTAGATATCAGTCCTTTTACAATTTTCTTTTTACCTTTTATTTTATGATATGACGTTATCGCTTCCTTCGGCAAGAAAATTGGAAAGTCTACGTTTAACCTCTCTACCAGTGAGTTGAGATCATTTTAGTATTTTACCTTAATAGACACTCACAAGTTTATGATACCCACGGAATGAGATATATGGTAATATCTTCCTCGCGTCGCCATCACAAGGTAGCTTTTTGTTTTTTCTTCTTAAGGATTATTTCTCTTTGCTTCAATAGAGACGTGCTTTAAAATTAATGTCATATATTAAAAGTACGAATCGGTTTTACAATATAGTGTGGTTAAGTTACCTTTAGAGATTCAGGCATATACTGCACTAAGAAATCGGCCAATGCTGGGAGCTCGTCTTCTTTCACCAATCGGAAGTTTTTCCCCTCGGGCACGATTTCCATCTCTAGAACAAATAAAATCGCTATGTGTGATACATCGTACAACTATCCATAATTTACATCACCAATGGATTTTATATGTTTGTCAGAACGATCACTAAAAATGACTAAAGATTTTTATAAAGTGTTTATACGGATAGAGTGTAAGATTTGTTATTTGCTATCTACTTAGTAGAGCTGTTGGGTGTTAAAGTTCCTTAAACATGGACGTGAAATTGTTTGGCTGTGGACTTTCGAAAGGCTGTGGAATTTTTGCAAATTTGCTTGTATGCTCTAACAACGATTCTTTCAAAAAGTCGTGGGTTTGAATCAACCATTCGTCTACTGTCGTGAACCACTACTAACACAAGCATTATGAGCTTAGCAGGAGTGGTTATAGGGAGTATTAGTAATGTTAATAACATTGCTAATATAAAAAAATATTTCTTATATTTACGTGAACACTACACTTTAATTAAACTATTCTTTATACGTGGTAGAGCCATGTTGCAGCTGTATTAGTAGTATAGTTATAGCACGAATAGGTCGGCTCAACCGGGGAAGAACCACGCTCTCACAGAATACGCGTAAAATAGCAGCTTAACGCTGCTGTGTTTTGTATGGTGAGTGTAAAGAACCAGAGACCCTTTTTATTGGAAAAGAGGCATTCCAACTTAGTCCTCACGGGTGACAACGCATCTGCATTTTGATTTGTAATAGAGGATAGATGTAGATGTCTATGGGCCGCAGCAACCACTTACCATCAGATGGACTGTGCGATCGTTTGTCACCTATATCGTATAAAAATGTAATTAATAGAATCAGGCGTTACTTTGCGGAAATCCATTATATAAAAGCTTTTACAACAATTTACTTCGCAAATATCCGCGTTATAAAATAAAATGATGTGTCTTACCTAGTATGAAGAAGCACCTCCCGCCCTCCCTCAATTGCGTGCACTATCCCCGTCACCACTAATCCCAGCACCGCTACTCCCAACACCACTACACTAGGCAAGACACACCACTGACGATAATACGACACGTGTTTCGCCTCTACACGAGGCATCCTCAGGTGATATAGACTCTACGGTGGCTAACCGCTAAGTGAGCGGCGAGCCAAAACAAGTGCCTTTTATACAAGCCGATGATGCAACCGCTCTCTACCTAAGAAGCGAGCGACTGCGTCATGCGATAAAACATGCGACCAATCACCGCTGGACTTACGCAGCCGTTTGTAAAATTAAAAACAAACCGTCGCGCAACGCCCACATTATTAGAGAGCAGGCTTGAAGATATTTAAGAGAGGTGAGTTAGTAACATTTGTTTGTTCATTCAGCAATGCAACGGTATTATTATTACTTTTTAATATCTCTAACTGTTCCAGCACACACAGCCGCAGCCCTTTATTACACGTATGTAAGACTTTAAAGGAGTGGTCGTTGGCTAGGTTGTGTCCAGTGTCCAAAAGATGTTTGGCAAAATGGGATTTATCGGGATTGCAATTCCTGTACGCGGCTAAATGCTCTTTATAACGTGTCTCGAAATTGCGACCAGTCTGACCCACGTAAACGGCGTGGCATTCGTCACAAACAAGTTTGTAAACACCTGACTTTTGACGAATATCCAACTTATCTTTACTATTACAGATATTTCTAAGAGAATTGTTTGTTTTGAACGCCACATGAACGCCGTTTTTTCGAAGAGTATTAGCTACTTTTTCAGATATGGGGCCTAAGTAGGTCAAACTGCTCACATATCGATGAACACTTTGAGGTTGAACCGCGTACAGAGAGTTGCGAATAACATGCTTTTGTTTCTTTTTAATTAAATTGTTAATGAGATTTTTTGAAAAACCGTTAGAGACCGCTATTTGATAAATTATATTAAGTTCTTTTAAATAATTTACTTTGCTTAATGGGACAGTGAACAAACGGTTAATGTAACAATAAAAAGCGGCTACTTTATGTTGCCATGGATGACATGATGACGCGGGGATGACCGTGTCGGTGTGAGTTGGCTTTCGATAAATTTGGAAAACATGTGACGATTCTTTTCTTGTTATTGTTAAGTCAAGAAAATTAAGGGAACAATCTTGTTCCAATTCAAGTTTAAATTTAATTTTGTCATGGACTCTATTTATTTTATTGAGGAAAACATCCAGTTGTCTCCTTGTGCCAGTCCAGCAAATAATTATGTCGTCTACATATCGATAGTAATATAAGATATTTTGATTGACAACTATATGTTGTTTTTCGAAATTATCCATGAAAATGTCCGCCATAAGGGGACTTCATATTGAGGGGACCCCATAGCTAATCCTTCTTTTTGTAGATAGAAACGGTTATTAAACCGGAAATAGTTTTGTTTCATACAGAGAGAGGTTAAGTTAAGAAGATCATTTGTTTCCCCGGGATGTAGACGACGTTTTTCAAAGAGATCTGCGAGTATACGCAAACAGTCAGGGGATGGGACATTTGTGAAAAGACTATCAACGTCTAAAGATAACAATATGGATTTAGGAGGAATACGAATATCTTTAATTTTGGAAATGAGATCTAAGCCATTTTTTAGGCTGTAAGTGGGGTTGAATCCAGATTTCTCTCGAAGGAGGAAGTTTAATTTTTTAGCAAGGAAATAAGCTGGTGCACCAATATATGAGACAACTGGACGAATAGGAACATGTTCTTTATGTATTTTTGGTAACCCATATAAAATGGGTGCTTGAGGATTCATTGGAACAAGATTGCTCCGAGACAAGTTGTGATCGGGAAAAACATATGATGACTGTTGTATACATAACTTAATATCCGAAGTAAACTTTTTGGTTGGGTCAGACTCCAATAGCTCAAAGTCATCACCTTGGATAACATCGTTAACTTTCTGGCTGTACCCACTACTCTCCATAATAACAACAGTATTGCCTTTATCGGCTTTAGTAACAATAAGGTCGTTTTCCCTTATTCTCTGCTTTAGGGACTTAAAAACAGGGAACTCAGGATTGAAATGGGAAGACGCGGGCACAGCCCGAATTTCATTAGCTACCAAACTTTTAACGATGTTATCTTTCTTCCCGATCACAACAGCCACCTCCGCGTCAACAGCCATAGTCTCTAACGATTTTTGGGAGACCGAAGGTGTTAAATTATACTTTAGGCCTTTATGTAAAAGGGACAACTCATCTGTTGGAAACTGGACATCGGAAAGATTTTTAACTCGGGGATAAAATTGGTGATATTCTGTATGTCTGTCGTTATTACGATTACGGGATGAAGAGGATACAAGTCGTTGTAATTTACGGGACTGAATTTGATATTTCTCATAAACAGCCATTGAAGCAAGTTCTCTGGCTTTCCCATCCAAAATATCAAATTCAATATTATGTAATTTATATGAAAGTTCAGAGTATAATACTTTAAGGTGGATTTTTAAATTATCTCTATTGGAAAACCAACGACGACACTCCTCATTAAGCCAAATGTTCTGAGCTTTAGAAATAGCAATACTGGCCGCTCGACTATTTGTGCTGGAACGTATTTGAATATAATTGGGAATAACATGAAGTTGTTTGCACTGCTGATTGAACCAAACATTTTGGGCAGCAATACGATGGAGTTTTGTTAATTTGACATAGAGTCTTGCCTGGTCGGCCGTGCTAGCCTTTTTAATATAATTAATAGAATCAGGCGTTACTTTGCGTTTTTTGCGTTCCTTAATTTTCTTGACTTAACAATAACAAGAAAAGAATCGTCACATGTTTTCCAAATTTATCGAAAGCCAACTCACACCGACACGGTCATCCCCGCGTCATCATGTCATCCATGGCAACATAAAGTAGCCGCTTTTTATTGTTACATTAACCGTTTGTTCACTGTCCCATTAAGCAAAGTAAATTATTTAAAAGAACTTAATATAATTTATCAAATAGCGGTCTCTAACGGTTTTTCAAAAAATCTCATTAACAATTTAATTAAAAAGAAACAAAAGCATGTTATTCGCAACTCTCTGTACGCGGTTCAACCTCAAAGTGTTCATCGATATGTGAGCAGTTTGACCTACTTAGGCCCCATATCTGAAAAAGTAGCTAATACTCTTCGAAAAAACGGCGTTCATGTGGCGTTCAAAACAAACAATTCTCTTAGAAATATCTGTAATAGTAAAGATAAGTTGGATATTCGTCAAAAGTCAGGTGTTTACAAACTTGTTTGTGACGAATGCCACGCCGTTTACGTGGGTCAGACTGGTCGCAATTTCGAGACACGTTATAAAGAGCATTTAGCCGCGTACAGGAATTGCAATCCCGATAAATCCCATTTTGCCAAACATCTTTTGGACACTGGACACAACCTAGCCAACGACCACTCCTTTAAAGTCTTACATACGTGTAATAAAGGGCTGCGGCTGTGTGTGCTGGAACAGTTAGAGATATTAAAAAGTAATAATAATACCGTTGCATTGCTGAATGAACAAACAAATGTTACTAACTCACCTCTCTTAAATATCTTCAAGCCTGCTCTCTAATAATGTGGGCGTTGCGCGACGGTTTGTTTTTAATTTTACAAACGGCTGCGTAAGTCCAGCGGTGATTGGTCGCATGTTTTATCGCATGACGCAGTCGCTCGCTTCTTAGGTAGAGAGCGGTTGCATCATCGGCTTGTATAAAAGGCACTTGTTTTGGCTCGCCGCTCACTTAGCGGTTAGCCACCGTAGAGTCTATATCACCTGAGGATGCCTCGTGTAGAGGCGAAACACGTGTCGTATTATCGTCAGTGGTGTGTCTTGCCTAGTGTAGTGGTGTTGGGAGTAGCGGTGCTGGGATTAGTGGTGACGGGGATAGTGCACGCAATTGAGGGAGGGCGGGAGGTGCTTCTTCATACTAGGTAAGACACATCATTTTATTTTATAACGCGGATATTTGCGAAGTAAATTGTTATAAAAGCTTTTGTATAAAAATGTTTTTAAAAAGCTAGAAATATGAGAAGGTTCTATAGAACTGGACACAGTATCGAATATTATATTCTACGC